TTCTTTCAATCAGAACATTTTCGAAGCTGAAGAAAGAGTTACTACTACAATGCATTTATAACAATAGTTGTGATGGGATCCAGGAGAATCCACATTCAGCCGAGTGCAATGCACTCCTTGCCAAAGGGTGTCCAGAAGCTTCAATGGGAGCAAACCGTGGCACTTAAGGCTGCTCACTGGCGCACGGAATGGGCCCGTCTTCCCGCTGTCCTGCAAGTCCTGCACTGCCAGTTGCTCTGCAGACTCAGCTCAAGGAGTCGGTTTCAACCTTTAAGGACCTGGCTACCTAGGCAATGGCCTGCCTCACGACGAACCTGTGCAGGGAGAGAGAACCGTGTCCACAGCCCAGGTGAGAGCTTATTACCTGCATCCCCACTGGCAGGCACACTTGAAAGGGCTCTCTCCTGCGTTACCCTGAACAATGGAACATGTACCCTCAAGTAATATGACTGGCATCCAGTCGGTTGGTTATTAGTACTACTATATTACATTTATATCTTGCCTTTCTTCCTCTTTGCAAGGAGGATTACAAGCCTCCCCCCCCTTCATTTTCTCTGCACAACAGCCCTGCGAAGTAGGTTAGGTTGAGAATATTTGACCAGCCGAAAGTCACCCAGAAGGTTTCACGGCTGAATGGGAACTAGATCTCCAGAAAAGACTCTGTCCAGCATCTTTTCGATTTAGCCTTTTAAAGTGAATAGCTTTAATGTCTTTAATGTTTTTTTATTATCTTATAGCTTTATTGTATTACATTATTGTATATTGCATCAATGGGTTTTTAGTGGATAAAGACATAACCGTTAATAATTAAAGAAATGAATTACTGCCTAAATTAAATCACCACCATGCAGATGTAGGGAAAGGTCAGAACTTTTAATGATATTTTATCCCAACCTCCTTCTAAGATCACCTTCCAAGAATCCAAGCATTGGATCCCCCGCACTTCCCCTCAGGTTGGACCGACTGAAAGTGGCTGGATTCAGACAGTCGTAGGGAGAAGCTGCCACGGTGCTTCCTTCCCCTGCGGATGGTGGCCATGCACCATAGGATCTGCCTGATTACTCCCACGCCACATGGCTTGCTGGGTTGTCTGAACCTGGAGAGATGCAGGGTGGGGGGTGGGTCAACCAGATGCAGGGTGGAGGAGCTTCAGAGCCACACCAGAACCATGGCTTGTGGTGGGGCTCTACTCTGTTTCCGAACCTACCCCCACCACACATTTTGATGGCTTTGGGTGATACAGCAAGCTGCAGTCCAAGAGGGTACAAGCCAAAGTACATGGGATGCCGATGATTGTCCAAACGTGGCCACTGACAAGTTCAAGGTCATTCTCTAAACTTCTAGCTCAGGAGGGGTGTGTGAACCTACCTTTTTAGACAAGTCTACTTTTCGGTTTAGAAAGTGATTTTAAAAATAATCTATTTTAGACGATTATCACATCATACTCAGAAGTGCGCACACTCTTCCCCATTCAAAGCATACGTGTTCAAGAGATAGAGGCTACTTCTCCAAGTACGGCAATCCTAATCTGCAGCACAGCTGCTAAGCTGAAGAAAAGCCTCCCACTTTCCATCTTCAGTGCCATGCAAGGAATCAGGGCTGGTAAGGAATGCAGCTTGCAAGAAGGGGGACACAAACCCTTCCCTCCCCAGCTGCAACCCCCCCCCCCTAAAAATTGCCCCCTGCATAGCAGTAAAGCTGAGAAAAAACTTTCTTTCCACTGGGATGGGGCCGTGGGAAAGATCTGAGGGCAGGTCTCCTGGGATCCAGCTTAGCCCTACTTCTGCTGGTTGGGTCTTTTCAATGTAAGTAGGGCAGTGAAAGTGTTTCCAAGAAGAAGAGACATCCCAGTGTTCAGATGCAAATTGCTGTTTGCACCTGGCATTATTCAAGTGACTTCCTGGAATGTCAAAACATTGGCTCTCCTTGGAAGAAGAGAGCCGGAGTTTACAGTGCCAGAGGTGTCAAATGCCTCCATCTTCAACCACCCAAGAGGGTTTTGAGGAGATTGAGGGAGAATCCTAGTAAAGTCCACATGCAGAAAGTTAAGCGGATGCTACCACGTTCGGACATTTGCTGGCCTTCAGGGGTGTTGGACTGCAACTCCCAGCATCCCCCACCAGTCTAAAGCTTCTTCTGGGCAATGGCTGGGATGGAAAGTTGTTGCGACTCGGAAGCAGGGACCATGCAGGGCTCTGCCCTGGCTGAGGCTTCACGTCCCTGCAGTTCTGCAAGTGTGGTAAAATATAAAACAAAACAAAACAAAACAAAACAAGGGAGGATTTTGGGAGGCCCAAAACAGAAAGTTTCTGACTACCAACGGGAGACCCACTAGTACGCCACCTGGGCACTCTGAAGGGACTGCCGAAAGAGGACTGCAAAAGCTGGCTGTTAAGAAGGATTCTGCATCCTCCAAGGGAGAAAAGGTACATGAGAAAAAGAGGCAGCGAGACGGAAGCAGCTCACAATCGCAGCAGGGAGGGCAGCAAGCCAGTGCCAGCCACCTGCCACAGGCTGCTTCAGGGCTTGAGGGTGGCTGGCACCGGCGAGTGCCCAGGCATGGGACACGTTTGGCAAGAGCTGCAAGCTTCTTTACTGCTCAAACCAAGCTGTTTGGGAGCCAATTCCCAGTCCTCACGATGGGGTCAGTTGTCCAGGTGCAAATGACACGGCATCACATTGTGGGTACAACAACCCCTACAACAAGCCATGGTTTGCTGGGGTGGCTTGTTCCCCATCAACAAGCTATCCTGGGGAAATTGGCCTGGGTTCACACAGCAGAAAAACCCATCATGGACGTTTTATCGCAGTGCCTGGTTTTTGATGACGTGTAGCAATCCCCAATTGGCCTGATCTGAGGCTGAAGAAATCAAAAAGCTGTGGGACATTCTGGCATGCACTGCAACAAATCAGAGGCTGATTAACTAACATGCAATTTACCACCACTATGCGTGGACTGCCCCTCAAATTAGAAAGTGTCAGTCTCCTGATTTCATGCCCTTTCCAAGACAGTCCATTCCACCCAACACACAACATTCAATGTCCACTAAGCGATCTAATTTGTCACTGGGTCCTTAGTGGAACCCCCATGCTTATGGTTTTCCTCCTGAAGGTGCTTTTGGTACTTCTGCAAATATCAGGGATGCTCCAAGCACGGCCATGCCTCCCTCGTGCAGCTGACAGCATCATTTTGGCTGCACAACTGGATAATGAATTTGCCAAACAGACACTGGCCCATGATTCAGTTATTAGTCAAGGATCAATTTCACTTAGGTTGCAGTCCTACACCAATTTCGCTGGGATTAAAATCCCCTGAACTCAGTGCAAATTATTTCTGAGTAGACATGTGCTATGAGGCATAGTTTAGGTTCTGGCTAATGGCATTTTACATTAATTGCTTTCTTTACTGTCTATCAACACATGTGTTTTATTTTTACGACCGCAGATGCAAACTGAGTCAATGATTCATTCAACCTAGTGAATATCATCATCATCATTTTTTAGCATTCAACATGAGAAACTTTTCAGAGAACTTTTAGTATGGGAAAAGCTATCGCAGTAACTCCTTGTCCAGTGAAGGCCACTTTGGGCAAGCCAATCGCTTTATACCGGAAAAGACCAAGTGAAACACCACCAATAAGCCCACTCAAGGTGAGATTTTGTCGCATGCCGTTCATCGCAATAAAACGTGGCACAGCGAGGAGGAGATCAAGCTCGTCCACTGGCGGAGGTTCCTTCCCGACTTCCGTGCCAGAAAGAGCATTCAGTTCCACCTGCCCATTGCAGTGGGGGCAGTGGGCAAGAAGGAGCCACCCACCTGCCTTCTGCAACAGGGGTAAGGGGGGAACATGGTGAGAGGCATCTCTTCCTGCAGCCTGCCCTTCCCCTCCTGTCCAAGGAGAAGTTACGCAGGACAGGTGAGGGCAGCTCAGGGGCCTGCCTGCGCCACCTTCCCACCCGCAACCAGGACCAGAGAAGGAGCGTGCACAGGTACGCTCTCACCCCCATGCTGGACCTTGGCCAGCAAGCGCCACCCCACCCAGGAAAGCCCAGCCAAATGCACCCCCTGACCCCAGACTGTTGCTCGCAACCGTGTCCCACCCCTGAGCAGCAGGCAAGGGATCGGGGCGCATGCAGCTGGGTGCTTCCAAGCCCCGTGTGCCATGGCGCTTCCCTTCTTGCCCTCCACTCCAGTTCCTGCCCGGCACTCCTGCCAATGCCGGGAGAACCACCCTGGCCGGATTAGCAGCCGCCAGCCAAAAGAGCTGCATTTGGGCCACTGTCGTCCTGCTCTCCTCAGTTTCCTTCCAGTGTCTTCTGGAATGCTGCAGGAGGAACAGGGAGGAAGAGGGACACAGCCTCCCTTCCCAGTGCTGTGTCCAATCACCTGTCACACACAAGGGAATGTTACTTGCAGAACATGGTAAAACTGCAGGAGGGGGTAATGTGTTGTGTGAACCCACCTGGAGGGTTACCTGCAGCTCTTCTCGCTAGGCCATGTTTTACATTGGTTTTGAGTTTACAGTTTTCTTCTTTGCTTGTGTATAAAATTCTTTTAATGCTTGTTTTCTGTAAGCTCTGCACAGAACTAGGTGGTGTAGGAATCTCACAAATAGATCTTAAGTGATCAAGTCTGCCAGTAAGCGACGGTCAGCTTTCCTGCCTGTAAACACCTGTTTGCAACCCAGAGCTTTGCTCTGCTGTTGTCAAACAGATCCTCTATCTTTCTCTCCATCCCCCTCTCCTTGGATAGCTTGTCTTTTTTAAGCCTGAGAGCATGGCCTGTCTCTCATCTTATTTATGCATTTGCTATCTCACAGAGCAGCTCAAAATATTCTCCGGAAGAGTGGGATAAGAGTACAATTGTATAAACAAAAATACTATAGTGGCATGATCTGGTCTGGGGAAAAAATCCCCATCATCACTTTTGGGAAGTCACACTTCAACTATGGGGGGAAGGCAAGTTTCAAAATAAGAAGATGTGTTGAGAAAATACTTACGGGCCACTGAAAAGTTGTTTAAGGGAGATTCCCTCTGGTCCACATCTTGCGGCCTCTCCTTGTAGCCGATGAACGTTCCATCGTTCTTCAACAGAAAATATCTGGGCCTCCATGTTTTAATGTACTCTCCTGGGAATGGGGAAGGAGAGAAAGAACAATTAAATAATTACTGGCTGGTAAGTGTAGAATTAACCACAGACAAAATTCCTATTACAAGTAAATAAACACTAAGGTCCCTCTACCCATGGCTCTCCATGAAAAATCTGCAAGAGAAGACAATTAGGTGCTGTCAGATTAGGACCGGAGAGGCCTGACTTTGAATACCTGCTAATCTAAGAGTAATCTACCTGTTAATCTAAGACTGACTGAGACCCCGAGCCAGTTGCTCACTCCTAGCCTAACCTATCATTCAGGTTGATTGAATAAAATAGGACAGATACAGACAGACATTATTATGAGCTCCTTGGAGGAGGAGCAGAAAGAGGGAACGACACTGACAGCCCAAAGAAGCATGGAATCATGTTATGTGCCACTGGACATCCACCTGTAAACAATGGATCAGGAAGCCAGGATGCGGCATTCCATCATATTGCAGTGTGATGGAAACCATGGTTCAGGGTGGCAGGATGAAGATGGCATGATGTTGATAACTCAGGAAGGCAAACAAGAGGCAGGTGGTAGGTGTGGGCATACGCCTGCCTTGTGAAGCCTGACTGCACCTAGCTGGACTCGTGGGGATGCTGGGAAGGTAGGAGCAACACATCTGGAGCCACCAGGCTGGAAAAGCTACTGTAAAGACTAACAGACTTACAATAACCTTTGCATTCAGCAACAACCTAGGGCATTCTTGCCTCACCAAACCCCACTTTGGGCCCATTTTTCTTTACATGGGCCTCTGAACCCATCTACAGAGGGTCTGCCAGTGAGAGCCAAACTGGGGCTGCAGAGGCCACAGGAATTTATTTATTTAAAACATTTCTATGCCGCCCCCATCGCAACAAAGCCTCGAGGCGGCTCACAACATAAATCCTGCTTCCTTGGACTCTCCCCTTCCTTCCTGACCACTGGCACAAACCTTTTAGACCTCTAAGCTAACTGCTGTGACTTTGGAATGCAGGTGCCAGCAGTAGAGAGCAGGAAGAGAGATGTGAATTTGCTCTCCCAGAAGCACAGAAAAACCTTCTTTAACTGTCAACTACAAACGTATTTGAAAGCTGTAATTAGCTTTTACTCTGAGGTGATAAAAACCTTGGTACACTGAAAACTGCCAGTTTCAGAATCAGCCCTATTTCTGTGTTCCCTTTCCTGACATTTCCCTGAAATTTTCAGAGTCCAAAAACTAGGTGGGGAATATTCCCCTCTGAATACAATTGCGACTAATTGTTGAACCATTTAAAAATATAAATAAATACAGGAAGTATTTGCAACTTCTAGAGAAGTGCCTTCAGAACAAGGAGAAACACAAAGCATGTGTGTTTTTCCACTCAATATCAAATCCATAGTAATACTGTTATAACTGCTCAACTTTAAACAAGTTGGTCAGACAATTTCTCCAGAATTTGCTTCTAACACACAAAAGCAATCTTTACTCACAGTTTGCTTGCCGATAGGCCATGTTTACCCAAAATTCAAGTTTCATTATAAAGCACATTTTTTAAAAATATTGCTACTGCAGCATATACTGAGCAGTATCTAATTCTATCCTAATACCAGCCTTCTTCCAATTGGTACTCCCAGATCTGTTTGACTACAATGCTTATAATTTCCAATAACCATGCTAGCTAGGGATAATGGATGCCGTAGTCCAGCAAGCATAGAGGGCACCAGTTCAGGATGGCCAGTATAGACTAATAATGAATGCATCTGCTTTATATGGTAGTTCCTTCTACATCCTCCATGAGTGAGAGGGAGAGGTGAGCAGGCCACCTTTAGAAAAGCTAAATTAAAGGGGCAAAACACCCTGCTTCAAGATGACTGTGAACAAGGCATGCTCAGTGGGCACAGAATGCTGTTGTGAAAAGTCAGAAAAATGCAGGGGGAAATAAGAGTTTCCTAGAGGGGGCATGGCTGGCTGGCTGACATCCTGAATAGCAGCACCCAGCACTAGTGATGGGCAAACTTAATCCTGAGTGAATTTATTATTTACTTGGAAAGAAATGAATTCATCCATGTGAAATCCAAGAACGTTCCCCTTTGTTATGAAACACTGTCTCATACATATGAGGTTTTGCACATGAACAAGGTCAAGGTGCATTGTGGGAGTGGCCGGCTGGACCCACACATCTCCCCCTAAGGTGGTCCCTTTCTAACTAGCAGTTTTCACTTGGGTCTACGAGATGCAGGTATGCAGATGGACTTCTCCTTGTAGCCTGAGCTGCATAAGCCATGACAACAACAGGCAGAGCAGTTAACAAGACTGCCCAAAGAAAGTTTGGGGTGGGCGTGTGTGGTCTAGCTAGGAGAACCATAGAAAAAGTAGAGGGGAAGTTATGTATTCCTTCACCATGCATGTTCTGAAGCTTGAAATCAATTCCAAACTTAACAGCAAATACCAAATACAAAAATCCCGGTTTACTACAAAGGTGAGCATTAAGCAGCGATGAATTTTCAACCAACAAGCTAACTCATTACAAAATCTGCTGGCATTGCTATTCCACTTCTATACACATAACCCTGGGAATACAGAGCTTCAAAAGAACCCTGGACTAAAGATGCATTGCTCTTGGCTCCAGACAGAGGCAAACCTGGCGGCTGAACATATAGTTTCTAGCCTGATCTAGTGGCTGGGTGGCGCTGTTCGGGCATCACCCTGCAGAGCTGTGAACATGGAAAAATGCCTTCTGATGAATTAAACGCTTGGTCCAATTCAGCTCAGCCTTTTTCAAGCTGGTGCTTCCAAAGTTTGTGAGGACTACAAAGCCCAGAATCCCCTAGTCAGTGTAAGAGCTGTACCTGAACACATCTGAAGGGCAGTGGGCTGGGAAGGGCAGACTGCACTCCATATTGACTATGCTGATGGGCAGCGGAAACTCTCCATGGTGTGGACATGGGCCCTTCTCGGCCATACCTGGAGATCAAACCTGGGCACCTGCATGCAAGCCACACACTCTGCCCCTGAGTTATGGCTCTTTGTTTCTTTCTCACAAGCCACACCTGGTATCCCAACACCTCCAATGCAGATGTTCCAAAGAGAATCATCAACTTTAAAGCCTGATTTCAAATCAGGCTCTTTTACTTCTGCAACCTGGGATTCTACATGCAGTCTTCACATCACAATGTGAGAGGAGATTTTTTAAAAAAATGATTTCATAAGGTTAAGGCTTAGGAATTTACAGTGGTGTTAACTACCAAGCAGAGCTCATAAAAATGTTAACAGAGTTCCACCCTACTTCTTGATCCGCTTGTAATTTGGGTTGTATATTCTATATTATTTGCCTGGAATGCAATTGAAAATCCTGTGTAACCTCCAATCACAACGAAAGTAACAGCAGATGTCCTACAGATTATTTTTCTGCTATTGTCATTTTTCATACTGACAAGTGGAGATTTTTTTCTTCTTTACATTTACATTTTGCAGTGCAAGTGTTTTAAAACAATGGTTTGTTTCACTAATTAGCCTTCTGTTTTCTCAAACCAACAGTCAAATTTTAACACATTAAGAAGGAAACCTGAACCTGAAGAACCAACCAATGCATTATCTTAAGTATGCTTTTTAAAAACATGCTTAAGGATGGGTGCTTTTTTGTAGAAAAAGCTATTGCATGGGTGAGTTGGACCCAGACTGGAACAGGTGGGGAAGAGAGGCTTAACCCTTTCCTCCTGTGCCAGAGTCACACCTGCGGTAAATTGCCCCAAAAGTCCTGTTCACAGTGTAAATGGTATTCTAGGAACAAAGAGAAGCAGGAGCAATTGGTACTGAAAAGTGAAAGCCATTTCCTTGCTCACACAGCCAATTTTTATTGAAAAACAAAAGGAATGGATGCTTGTGTAGTTTGGCCTTCAGTTGCACTATCGCTTTGCAAACAGTTTGGGAAGATACATTTTATAGGTGAGATGCTAGGAAGCAGAGAGCGATTCCTATGCGCTAGGAGCAATGCTAAAGCAGAATGCACCTTTAAGTGGCTCCGTATTGGGCAGGAGAAGAGATTCCATAGTCAAGGCAACCAAGCATCAAAGAGATGTAGACTTCACCCTGAGACACAGCTGCAGCCCACAAAAGAGCTTGTGTTTCTTGCTTGAAAACAACAAAGTTTCTAGTCCTCATTATTATGATGATACCTTAGGAGACATACCAGTAGCAATATACACTGGGGGGGGGGATACTAAAACTGACCACTTTTACAGATTCCCACAAACCAACTATATCTCTCTCTCAGCATTTCTACAGAACAGAAACAGGAAGAAAATTCAAAATTATGCAAATAGGTCAAAACATAAGAGACCAACTAAATGAGAGACACACAATGAAAGCACATCTGTTTTTCTGAAGAATTATTACGAGCTCAAAAATTGGGATTCCATTTTCCATTCCTCATAAACAAAACATGACCTTTTTGCATTTAAAGTAATAGTTCAAGAACAGATATTTGGGGAAACATTTATTAAGGCAGCATAACAGTCCAAATGTATCTTCCCTTCTTGCTCAGTGCCAAGTTTCTCTACTAATCAGTTTTCTCCATTCATGTCTGTTTTTTCCTGGGTGCGACTGCACAGAGCAAATAAATAGTTCACGCACATGGAATGAAAGCAATCAACACCACCTTCACTGTTCCGGTGTCATATTTATCAGGGGCTATTGGAAAGTACCTGGAGTTACTTCTTGTCCAAACCCTTTTTGATTCCTCTCTGGGGAACTCTTGGACAAGGAGTGCCTTTTGTTCTTGAAAACAGAGAGAAGCGGCTGTTGCAGAGAGAACACCTGCAGACAAAGGTCTTCAGGTATTTTCTGAAGGTGAATTAGAAAAAGGCCCTTTCTCGTGTGCTGGACAGAAAAAGCAAATGGTAGAATTCAGCCCCATGACATGGTCTTTTCAGGATCCTGGGATGGGCAATAAGAACCCCACCACACATGCAATCTATGCATCTTGCTGAATTCTGTGCGCGATTCCTATTTTACTTTTTTGAAGAGT